GCCAACTAATTTTCCAAGTCAATGCATTTGAATCATCAAATAATTTTTGCTCTGTTTTTGTGTATTTTGTTTGGACTAAGAAAGACCATTTGATTAAAGTATTTTTGGAAGAATGAACCCATTGATATTCATTAAACAGCCTCCCTCCTTCTCCAATTCCCCACAGTTCTCCTAGCAGCTCTGTCTTCCATTCAATCAGTTCTTCTTCCTTTTCCTCAAATGTGTTCCGAATTATTGATTGGTAAGATGTCTTTTCCATTTCTGATATTATAATAATTCCATTATTCTGATATTATCCTAGTTCTTCAGTTGTCTGAATCTGTCAGTTAGTTCCTTCCTTTATGTCTTCCATCTTTGGATCTGCTTCCTCTAGTTTTCCTTCTATTTTTTGGATTGCTAGTTCCTTCTTTGTAGCCATGTTCTGGGTTTGTAAATTTAGATTAGAAAATTGTTCTTTTATCTCCTTAGTGTTATTTTTAATCTCATCACGAACTAAAGCAATAGTCTCTTGTATTGATTTCAACATGGAGAGAATTTCTTTCTGATCTTCATCCATATTTTCTTGATAGTATATCAAACTGAAGACTTTGGGGACAGATGTTAGATATGGTTTTTTACCATTTAAAGCTGAGTATGGGACATCCATTTCATTTTTTGTAGGTGGTCTTTATAATAAAGATTATGCATCAATCAAAGATTTGTAATCCAAACTATTCCATCATCTCAAGCAATGATGTGTGTTTCTCCTGCAGGGAAATAGTTCCACAACACAGCTCTTAAAAGTCAGTTAATATTTATATTCGTAATTCAGGCAGGCCGGTTTTAAAGTAGTTCATCATCTCTGCCACACTGATAAGCAGCCCATGTTTTTTTCCCTTTTCCAGCTGAGTCCTCAAAAGTGAAAATTTCCAAGGACAGCAAGAGTCTTACCTAAATCTGGGTTTCAAGCCAAGTGTCCTTTTGTTAATTGCGAAGTCGTGTCCGACCCATCGCAACCCCATGGACAATGTTCCTCCAGGTCTTCCTGTCCTCTACCATCTTCTGGAGTCCATTTAAGTTCACACCTACTGCTTCAGTGACTCCATCCAGCCATCTCATTCTCTGTCGTCCCCTTCTTCTATTGCCCTCAATCTTTCCCAGCATTAGGCCCTTCTCCAGTGAGTCCTTCCTTCTCATTAGGTGGCCAAAGTATTTGAGTTTCAACTTCAGGATCTGGCCTTCTAAAGAGCAGTCAGGGTTGATCTCTTCTAGGACTGACCGATTTGAACGCCTTGCAGTCCAAGGGACTCGCAGGAGTCTTCTCCAGCACCATAGTTCAAAGGCCTCAATTCTTTGGCGCTCAGCCTTTCTTATGGTCCAACTTTCACAGCCATACATTGCAACTGGGAAAACCATGGCCTGGACTATACGCACTTTTGTTGGCAGGGTGATGTCTCTGCTTTTTAGTATGCTGTCTAGATTTGCCATAGCTTTCCTCCCCAGGAGCAAGCGTCTTTTAATTTCTTGGCTGCAGTCCCCATCTGAGGTGATCTTGGAGCCCAGAAAAATAAAATCTGTCACTACCTCCATTTCTTCCCCATCTATTTTCCAGGAATTGAGAGGGCCGGATGCCATGATTTTGGTTTTCTTAATGTTGAGTTTCAAGCCAACTTTTGCACTCTCCTTCACCCGCATCAAGAGGCTCTTTAGTTCCTCTTCACTTTCTGCCATTAGAGTGGTATCATCTGCATATCTTAGGTTGTTGATATTTCTCCCAGCAATCTTAATTCCAACTTTAGGCATAACAAATTGTAGTGCCATAACTCACCATTAGATGTCACTAGTGCCATTTTTCAGCTTTTTAAATCCAAACTGATATTACAAGCGTTTTAAATCTTTTTTTAAAAAGTCTCAAAGCACTTTTAGTCCCCAAATTTCAAAGCCATATATGTGTAATCTTGTAATTTTCTCTGTTTCCCCTAGTAATTAGTTTGCCACTTTTTTTTTCCCTGAGGGAATGGGGTGGAAATTCCCTTTCCTTCTCTCATTGGGGAGGGTGCTTTGGGCAATTTTTTCAGGAAGAAGTCATAAAGACAGGATAGAGCCTCACCCAGTTTCATCCATGTTGCTGAAAGATTGCTTGTCAGTGCTTATTGTCTTCTGTTATCAGCAGCTTGACTGGCTATATGAATGGAACCCCATCTTCCTGCGCCCGTCCTCCCGCAACATCAAACCCAAAGCCTTAAATCACTCTTAAACAGCTTGAGAGGAAGGGAAGGAGGCACAGTGGAATGCAATGTAATGAGTTTGCTTGGGGAATTTTTTTTTAATGAAAGGATCAATAACTCTTATTTTCTTTTAGAAATGATTTTAAAAATCCAAAAGAATACCTTTGCAATTGTTATGTCATTCATCTCCATGGCTAAAAGGTAGAAATAAAGTGCCACTATGTTTGTGGAAGAAATAATTCAGCCATAACTGTTTGGAAGCCAGATTCCCATCTGCTTGGACAATAGACTAGCTATCCCATTTGGAAAATTTATACACCAACATTCAAATGAGAAAATCAAACCGAAGAATTGGAGTGAGAAGGAAAAGCTACGTGCCTTTCAGATTCTTCCAAAACTGACCCTCCAAAATAAACAGAAAAAAATCCAGCAAAAACCTAGAAACAAATCATATTAATTGCTTTATTTTAAAATATATATCATCTTCAATCCTACAAGCATGTGATAATCTAAATTTTCTATATAACACGTATTTCTTATATATAAGTTGTCAGCTGTGTTCTAAATTCAAAATGGAACTTATCATTACAATCAAATCTTTATCAGTTTTCCAAGTTGCTGAAAGGCAGTACTCCACTGTATTTTTTTTCTCTCTCAGCCAAATTTTGTTCCATTTCTGCCATTCAGGAATGTGGCAAAAGAAAGGCTTTTGACTGATGATTGTGTTTATTGTTGAAGGGAAGGCAAGAAAGAAAACACCTGAGATTTCAGCCACTGAGCACTTTAATGCAATCAAGCTACAGAAATAGTCAAACATAATTGAGGAATACAGATTATCAGTGTTCCATACATAAAGATTTCCAGAAAAATAGTACTATAAATTGTAGCAAGTACCTAGCGCAGAGGTCCCCAACCTTTTGGGCACCAGGAATCGGTTCTGTGGAGAGGTTTTTCCACGGACCGGAGGGTGCATGGTTTTGTGTGCTGCCTGCATCTCACGGATGGGGCTTTGCTTGTTTGTGTGGCCCAGTTGCTGGCATGCTATGGCCCGATACTGGTCCACGGACCTGGAGCAAAAACATTTTCTCCTCTAATTCTTTGACCATTTGAGTAGTCATAAAAAAACAAGCAAAAGCTTCATCCCAAGAGAGTCTTGCTTCATATTCCTTTGTAAATAGTTTAATGCTGAATCAATGTCACTTTATTATTTAAGCAGTTTCCTGAGTTCAGATGTAACAAGAAGGTTTGTTTAAAGACAGAATGGTTGTTTCTAAGCTCTTCCTTATGGGTATAAAAGATGGAAAGAATAAATCCATGGTTTGGCTCATTCACAAAATAAAAGCCACTGCTCCTCTTATGTGTATTCCAGAAAATAGAAAAAAGTGGTAAGAATAAATTACAAGGTCTAAGGCAGGAAGGTGACAATGATGAAGGAGTACAGAATTGCTCTGCCCTTGTTTTTTTGTGGGAACAATCACTACCTACATCTTCACAATCTTTGGCTCTTTATGAGGACCTGCATGCTGAAGCTAGCAATTAATCCAGAACACATGTCTGCCTCCAGGATATAAAGAGACTTAACTTCTACGGATAAAGGCTAAGTTCTGCTTCCTTCAGCAGAAAAATATTTTACTCAGAAGCAATATATAACACAACAATATCCATCTGCTAGAAAGGGCAGGGAGCATTTTAGTAAAGAAAGACTCTGGCATTAAAAGAAATAAGAGAGCTGACTTCTCTGCACCTCACTATAATAAATTCTTAGATTTCAGGTCTATCTATAAGGTACACCTCATAACTATTTTTTTCATTTTGCAGCCTTAGGCAAGCTTCAAGTCTCAGTCCTTACCTATTAAAGGAATGCTGTGAATAAATCCAATAAATTCATGATTAGATCATAAATGATCTAATCGTTACTCATTCTGTTTGTTGTTTCTGACTCTAGTGCCAAAATGTTAATACCTTATGTTAATAGCTACTCCACTGAGAAAATCAAAATTATGAAAATAATCCCCATATAAGTTGAATAGCTAGACATATGCCATAGCAGATTCAGAATCTATATGGGATTTCTTATAGTTTACGTACTAGAAGTTTGCAAATTACCTGAATGAAAATGAAAGATTGAAATCTTGGGCAAATCCAATTTAGGTAGCAAGAAATGAGAAAGAGCTCTGCTAAAGACTGGAAAGTTGCTGCCAGAGTAGATACAATATGCAACCAAATGGAGAATCAGACTGCTCTGTTTAAAACAGCGGTTCTCAACCTGTGGGTCGTGACCCCATTTGGGGTCGAACGACCATTTCACGGGGGTTGCCAAACAATGCGGTCCGCCATTTTTTCCCCTTTTCCTTAGCTGTGCTACTCCCTTTTATTCTATTGGCTTTTGAAAGCCAATAGAATAGACTCTATTCGAGAGACTCTATTCTATTGGCGTTCGAAAGCCAATGGGAATTGTCCAGGCTGTCTCTGCCCTGCTGAGCCTGCCAAAAGCCCCAGTCTGCAAACGGTGCTGCAAGTTGTCTGCAGCGAAGGCGAGCTGTCTGGAAGTTTCCACCACTCCCTGCTGGGCAACTACTAAAAATGTAAGTAAAAGAGGGCCAGTGGGAGGTGGGAGGCCGGTGGGCGCAGGGAGGGTTGCTGGCGTGCGTGGGGCCTGGCGGGTGCCTTACCTCCCTTGGGCTGGCCCAGCTGGTGGCCCAGCTGGTGGTCGGCCTGCGCCGTCTCTGCCACTTGCCAGCTACGCCTCAGTCGGCGCAGGGGGCGGCACCACCCATGTGTGGCACTCCCGGACAGGGAAAGTCCTCGACTTACGACTGGTTGGGTAGTCCTAGACTTACGACCGGTTGAGTAGTCCTTGACTTACGACCGGTTGGGGGTCGCGGCATTAAAAAGGTTGAGAACCACTGGTTTAAAAGATTCTTATGTTCTTATGGAATGAAGAGATTATAGACTACTATAGATACTGTTTGCAGCATATGACGTGAGATAAGCACAGACAAATAACCTATATGAAACCTGAAAGCAGTGAAGAAACAATTGTTTAGTTAAAATGAGAGACACTGCAGAAACAAGATTTGAAGATCTGCTTCTACCCTGTATATGTGTATGTTTGTGTATGTGAAAGAGAGAGAGGAATGAAATAAGGAACAAATGAATGAATGCAGGTGAACAAGACTTGGAAATACTTGGAGATAACTTTCTGTTTGACTATGTAATTATTTCTCTGGATCACTTGTTGTGCAAAACTGTTGTGAGATTAACTAGGAAAGAAGAACTTTGGAGGAAAATTAGGACTGAAAAATGTAAACAAATCATCTGTCAAGTTCAAATGAAGACTGCTGTAGTTTCCTCCCTAAGAGAAATGGCTGAAAAAAACTACTTTCCTTTCAGCCCCCCCAAAACATTGCCCTATCAACTATACCTTAATAATTACTTCTGGAAATTTAAATGCCTTTCTCTCAACATCTTGAATCCAGAATACATCGCCTCCTATACATCCCACTTTAAAACAATTTGTGTGCAAAGAAAAAGAAAACAGGCCCAGGCAAAGGCCTGGGTTTCTTTAGTACTTCTTGCCAGGATTCTTCTTGTTGAATAGGCTGACCTTGTTGGTAGAGGACGACTCTAATTTCACTTTATCCATTAAGGTTTTCTTAATGGCAGCTGGGGAAACTTTCTCTTGGTCAGCTAAGCACTGTAGTTCCCTGTTGAAGACAGAGAATGGATTATCAAATCAGAGAACGTAGCTCAAGAGGGGTGAGTGGATGAGGGCATTTCTTTTTGCTGTGTGCAAGCATACCGTGTCCTGATGCAGGAAGCCTCCACAGCATTGATGAGCAGTGAGCGGAAACCACCACTCTCTAGAAAGTGGAGAGCATAGATAGTAGCACCTCCTGGTGAGCAAACATTGTCCTTAAGCTGTCCAGGATGCTGCTCAGAATCCAACAGCATTTTGGCAGCTCCCTAGATTTTGAATAGACAAGACAAAGGCAACTTAGAGGATAGCAGCAATATGGTATTTTAACCTATATTTAGCTGGATCTTTGAGGGAGAAAATGAAAATCAGGGCAGATAGAGTTTTTTCCCTTAATACTGCAAATTAGCCATTGAATTTTTTAAAAAAATCTATCCTGTCTCACACATGACTGAATGATCCAGTAGTTTGTTTCTTTGTACTTTAATTGCTGGGTGGTACAAGGCACTTCTTTAAATTTCAAACACCAGCTTTTAAAAAAAATAATTTTGACTTTTTTCCTATCAAATATCAGGAAGCAGAGTAGTCATAATGACCATTCTGATGATTACAAGCTAAGATACTGACCAACAAGGCTTGAGCTCCCAATCGGACAGCTAGTCTACGAGGAAGGCCCATCTTCACCCCTCCATCTGCCAGGGCATCCAGGGCTGTGAATGCCTAGGAAATCAATAGTTTAAAAAAAAATAAAAATTTGACCATATAATTATTCCTCTGGATCATCTGTGCAACATAACAATGCAACGTATTTTTCTGATTATTTAAATCAGAGTTCCTCAATTCAGTGCCCTCTAACCGTGCTGCAGCTACAAAGTTAAGAACTTGCAATCAGCACAATCTGAGGCAACCGCTGTACAGGTAGTCCTCAACTTACAACCACAATTGAGCCCAACATTTATGTTGTTAAGTGAGATAGTTGTTGAATTTTGCCCCATTTTGTGACCTTTTTTGCGACAGTTGTTAAATGAATCACTGCAGTGGTTAAGGTAGTCACATGGTTGTTAAATGAATATGGCTCCCCCTTTGAATTTGCTTGTCAGGTCACAAAAGGAGTCATATGACCTGAGCACACTTGCAACCATCACAACCGTGAATCAGTTGTCAAGCATCTGATTTGGATCATGTGACCATGGTGATGCTGCAATGGTCATAAGTGTGAAAAATGGTTGTAAGTCACTTTTTTCAGGGCCGTTGTAACTTCATACAGTTGGTAAACAAACCGTTGTAAGTTGAGAACTACCTGTATTCCAGAATTTTATCAGTGGATCCTTATGGGTGGCCTAGGACAGATTGGAATAGACCACATATTCTAAGGTGGTCCGGCTCTAATAATATCGAGGAAATCAAACACTCGGTTATAAAGCTTCATTCTGAAATACTGCAAGCCAATCTGCCTCCTCTTAAAATAAGATATGGCATAAGAAGTTAGCTACACTTCTGCATATAACCCTATCCCCACCCCCACCCAAATCTTTTATATCTTTTTTGAAGAATAAAAGAAATATATGGCACGTACATAAGCAGGTCCACTGCCACTGAGTCCTGTCACAGCATCTATCAAATCTTCTTCCACTTCAGTGCAGAAACCCACACTTGCCATCAGCTGTTCTAAGAGCTTCCCATCTTCCACTTCTGCATGTGAGCCTGTGGCATAAACGGTGGCCCCTTCCCGCACAATGACTGGTGTATTGGTCATGCACCTGATCACTTTTGGCGTGGGGTAGAAGGTAGAAAGTTTCTTGAGACACAAAATAAGAGAAACAATTGAGGATACTTAATTCAGAACTTAAAAAAAAAAATAGATCTGACAAGTGCTCCAGAAAATCCAACCCTGTCAGGTTTCAGACAGGTAGGAAAAAATCAGTGCATGTTCATTTGGTACCCATGTCTCTTCATACTGTGCTTCCCCGAAAATAAGATCCAGTCTTACATTTTTTTGCCTCCAAAAGAGGCATTAGGTCTTATTTTCGGGGGATGTCTTATTTTTTCCACTGTGGAAGCCTGCCATTTTCCTAACTGAGGGACTGATCATTCTAGGAGTTGTAATCCCAACATGTTTGGAAATGCCAAGTAGAAAAAAGCTAAGTTATACATTAGTGACATGTGCTCAATAGCTCCATCTGCAATTTAAGGAATGTCTATAGGGTGGCATATTATAATTTATCACAATTTATGATAATTAGGCATATTATGATAATTTAATCAGAATAATTTACTAATTATACACTAATGTAGAACAAGTTATGCAAATTTATTCAGATCATTAACTATAATTTATTAACTCTTAGTAATTCATGCTAATTTATCCAAGTTAAGAATCATAATTTATGATAATTTATCCAGTGCAATAATTTATGATAATGTATCTGGGATAATAATTATGGTTTATGATAATATAAGGTAATGATTTATGGTATGTTAATCTATGGTAATTTATCCAAAATAATCATAATTTATAATAATTTCTCCAAGATAATTTATCAATATATGGCTTACTAATTCATGATAGTTTATCTGGGTACTACTCATAACATGATAGTTTATCCAGGGTAATATTCATAATTTATAATATTAATTTATGATACTTCATACTAATTTAGAACAACTTATGGTATTTTATACAGGATGATAAACATAATTTATTAATTCTAATTCATTCATATATAATCAGCTTACTTACAAAGATATTTACTAGGTCACTAACTGGAGATACAACAGTGTTTCCTCTTCTTTCTATATAAGCAAAGCAATTACATTCATTGCACTGTCACCACCCTCATTATTAGTTTGTTCTTCAGAAACATCTGTTAGCTGCCCTTCCCTTGCACAAATCTAGGCCCAAGAAACAGATGCTGATTCTCACCTTTTCAATTGAGTTGATAGTAACACCAGCAGCACATGAGACTACAATATGTCGATCTTCTAGGTCTGAGCCAATTTCATCCAAGATAAAGGGAATTATGGGTGGTTTTACTGCTAGAAATAGGACATCACTGTTTTTAACTGTCTCCTTGTTGCTTAAGGTGAAATTTACACCCATTTTCTGGAATTAAGAAGTTGCATAGCAATTGTTGAAGCATTTCTTTCTTTGTGCTGAGTTTATAACAAGAACAATTAGATTAAATAAGGAACAGGCAAGGTTGGGCACACATTTATTTTCCTAGAACTACAAAGGCAAAATAAATGTGATGGATTAAAGGCAAAATAAATCTCATACAGTATCTTGATTTTAATTGGGAAAAAAAGTAGAGATTCAGCTGTTTTGACTACTGGGGTTGGGGTGAGGTTTTTGGATGGAAATAACTGCGCCAGCTTGCAGACAAACTGAGTTAGAAAATAATTTCTTGGGAAGAATCATATATCCTGTTTGGAATGTGTACAGTATCTAGATATATATATTCAATTTTAATACTTATGGTAATGCTGTTTTACTATATGCTATGATAACTCTAATATTTATATATGAAAATTTTATAAATATATTTTATAATTAAAGCCAACTCAGACATTCTGCAGTTTAAAAACAGGTATGGTTTCAACTAGATTCTAAGAATATGATGCTCCTAAAGATAGAAATTAAGGATTAAAGTGTTTTATGGACACAAATGTAACATGTAATTCCTTAGCAACGCCACCATAAGTAATAATAACTGACAGAAACAAGGCGGTGATTGGATGTATCAAATCTTCTCCATACGTTTTAAAATATGTATTTGCAACAGAAGACATGCCCTTGAAATAAATAAAAAAGGATTATATCTTCCTTCTAACAAGTATTTCCACACTAACATATCTCATCCTAAAGTTATTTTTCAAATGAAAGAAGAACTATCAAAGTATAGGCAGGCCTCGAGAAATGACTGTAATGAAGTTTGCCCATTATGGTCATATTTCATGGCAGTTGTCAGGTGAAAGGTGTCACCTAACAAATTCCCCCCCCATCCCATTTCTGTCCCATGTGAAACATAAAAAGAACATGCAGGTTGCTAAGTGGAGTGTGGAGTGCCTCCTGGATAGGGGAGGTTCTTGGAGGTCTCGTACAGGCCCAGGCCTGCCTGCCCTGGCCCTTCCAGGGCCTCCCCCACCACTGACACTCCATGCTCCACTTTCCGTGCCTTGGGTTCTCATATACCTTTCCCCACTCTCACCAGGTCCTCCCTATCTGATTTCTACCCCACCAGGCCAAATACCCTTCTTCTCACTTACCTTTTGAAGACCTGTGAGGCCTTCCAGACTGCTGATACAATTTTCTTTTTCGCACAGCCACATGGCATTTCCAAACATGGCCGCCATTTTGTCCCATCCACAAAATGGCGGCCGCATTTGGGTTGCGGCATTTAGGTCACAGCCACACATCTGGGGGACAAATTGCTTTGTTTTGCTACCTTACCAAGCTCTGCAGTGCTGCAGAAGTTTTCTGCAAAATTCAGAAGTCTCTGTAGCACTGTGCTGCAGACCTCTCTAAGGCAGCAAAATGAAGAAATTTCTTTGGTGGCCACCATTTTGTCCTGCCCACAAATGGGCAAGACAAAATGGCAGCCGCATTTAGATCACTCCTATGTGACCCAGGGACACATGGCCTGCTTGCCTTCCACAACATGAAGTCCAGAGAGCTTCAGAAGGTAAGAATGGGGCATGATGGCTGTATCAGGAGGAGGTCTAAGTGCTGCATGATTTCAACAGATGGGATGGAGGGACTGCAGGCCTGCTGCAGCCATCGTAACTTTGAAATGGGGTCATGTGTGATTTTGGGTAGTCTGATGTAATTTCAAATATCCATTAAATTGCCTGTTATACCTTGAGGATCACCTGGCTATCCTTTTCTGAGTAACATACAGTCCTACTATTTTCTCTCAATTTTTCTTTTTTATATGAAAGAGATGTATCCCAATTCTAGTAACAGAAAAAGTTCTGACTGGAAGTTTAGTTCCTACAGACAAAATATCACAGCTAAAAAAGCCTAAACTATCTCAATACATGGATAAAGTGTGAAATGCCCATGTTCTTATTTGAACTAAAAGCCAGTATTCTGGTTTATCATTAGAAGTATGCTGCTCCCTGTTGTTGCTATCTCATCCATTGGATTTCTCTGGTAGTAATCAGTTAAAAAAAAACTGTATGTTCTGTGGTTGACTATGATGTACAAACTAGGAATTCTACTTAATTCATCTTGGAACAAGCCAGACTGGTGCCACAGTTTTGTTCTTGGTATCAGGATATGGGTTGTTCCAAGATGAACTAGCAAGATTCTTGTCAAACTAAGCAAGAAAAAAAACACCGGATTTGTTAGTTGGATTCACTGCCAGGAGTCATCAAAGATCAATCAAAGCAATGTGCATTTCATGTATGAAGAGTTCAGTATACAAACATACAGCTACCAAGAGTTTTATGAGAATTTCGAGGGCAGACAAGAGGCATTTTAATATTTCAAATGCTATAACCTACCCTCAAGCCTGTTACTGTTGGGAGATCAGTGTCTGGTGAACTTGCTGTTATCTTGTGGGCAGCCAAAATCCCTAGAAAAATAAATATTGCATTTTATTTTGCAATAGCTTCCTACATCTTATTCAAGTGTTGATTCAGGTCTTATTATCAGAGGCACAGTGTTTCATGGCCCCTTTTAGACAGGCTCCTCCAATAGTGAGAGAGTTCAGATGCAGAATCCCACCAGGCTGAGAGAAATGGAAGAGGAAGGTCATCCAGCCATTTCTTCCATGTTATTGCAACAATGTAGGCCAGTGGTTCTCAACCTTCTTAATGCCGCGACCCCCAACCATGTGGTCGTAATTCGAGGACTACCTGTATTTCCCTGCGGGTGGAGCAGGAGGAGGCGCGCACATTCCGCCGCCTCTTCTGCGGCTGGAGTGCACGCTGGGCAGGCCGAGGATGCATGCAGGCCGTCGCCCATCAACCGCCTCGGCCCGGGAATGCTGCGCATGTGTGGTGCCACCCCCTGCGCCGGCTGGGGCGTAGCTAGCAAGTGGCGAGGGCGCAGGCCGGTCACCGGCTGGGCCACCAACTGGCCCAGCCCAAGGGAGATAAGCCATCTGCCAGGCCCCACGCATGCCAGCAACCCTCCCTGCGCCCACCGCTGCCCCGCTAGCCTTACCTTGGCCACCGCACGTTCGGTGCGGCGGCACGCAGGCCCAGGCGCTCCTGGGCGGCCATGGCACACGGCAGCGAGGGCGCAGGGCGACCACCAGCTGGCCCAGCCCAAGGGAGGTAAGGCACCCGCCGGGCCCTACACGTGCCAGCAACCCTCCCTGCGCCCGCCGGCCTCCCACCTCCCACCCCTGGCCCTCTTTTACTTACATTTAGTAGTTGCTCAGCAGGGAGGGGTGGAAACATCCAGAAAGCTCGCCTTAGCTGCAGACAACTTGCAGCACCGTTTCAGACTGGGACTTTTGGCAGGCTCAACAGGGCAGAGACAGCCTGGATAATTCCTATTGGCTTTTGAAAGCCAATAGAATTAGAGAGTCTATTCTATTGGCTTTCGAAAGCCAATAGATTCTATTGGCTTTCGAATGCCAATAGAATAGAGTCTCTTGAATAGAGTCTATTCTATTGGCTTTCAAAAGCCAATAGAATAAGAGGGAGTAGCACAGTTAAGGAAAAGGGGGGAAAAATGGCGGACTGCGTTGTTTGGCGACCCCTGTGAAATGGTCGTTCGACCCCAAATGGGATCGCGACCCACAGATTGAGAACTGCTGATGTAGGCCATGTGAGGGGTTCTCTCCTCTATTTAACATATCATTTTTCCCCTCCTGTTTGGCCGCTTGACTCAAAGGGATCTCCCCTCCCTAGTTACATGAAACCCTTTTCCTTTTCGGTTTACAATAGTTGACTAAACAAATCTAGATCAGGGCTTTTCAACCAGTGGTACGGGTACCACCTGTGGTACATTGGCACCTGGAAGGTGGTACACGACCATCCTAGAAAAGTGGTAGCGGGGGAGGGGAATAAGCTGAACCGGTGGCAGCACCGCACAAGCCTGAGCAAGAGATGGCTGGAGCTGCAGGGCTGTCAGGGCTCAGCGGAATCACCAGGATCAGCGCCAGGATCCAGCTGGAGCTTGGTGCTGATCCTGGTGCTTCTGCTGAGCCCAGAAGAAACGCCAATCAGCTGGAAGGTTGCAGTATGTCCAGGGTCTTGTGATTTACATTCAGATGGTTGGCAACTGATTCATATTTATGACAGCGTCCCAGGGGTCATGTGAAGTGTCCAAAATCTGCTGCAATAACCCAGCAGATGGGTGGAATAAAAACCAAACACCCCCCCACCCCACTCCTGCTGCCAATCCTCAACAGAAATGCTCACAACAATGAAAACCTCAGACAGGAGGAAGAGAGCCACCAGGCGGGTACGCAAGTGTCTTGCTCAGCAGTGGCTTGGGGGGCACTTTTTTCAGTGCCATTGTAACTTCTAAGAGTCACTAAGCGAACTGTTGTAAGTCGAGGACTACCTGTACTTTATCACTTTTTTTCTTTTTCTTTTTTGGTCATCAAGTTTTTGACACCTTGCTAGGCCACTGGGTGGTACTTGGATGTTGCCATATCCTAAAAGTGGTACAATGGGTGAAAAGGTTGAAAAGCCCTGATCTAGATGACCACTAAGAGGACACTAAAATATCTTTTTCAATATTTCTTTACTGCCATCTAGTGATCGACTAAATTTTTGCTGCCCAGCTGTGGTAGTCCTATAGTGCAAAAGTCCCCAACCTTTTGGGCATCAGGGACCAGTCACATGGAGAGAGGTTCTTCCACGGACTGGAGGGGGCTTGGTTTTGTGTGCTACCTGCATATCACAAACGGGGCTTTGCATGTTTGTGCGGCCAGTTTACTGGCATGCCATGGCCCAGTACCAGTCCACAGATTGGGGGTTAGGGACCGCTGCTATACTGTACAATCAAGTTTGTTGGAGCCAGGCATAACCTGCTCTCACTGCCTCCTCTGTTTTCATTTTATTCTTGCCACTATCTTCACATCCCTTCTCAGTACACCCATTCTGTTTTTTCAGTCAGTATAATTTTTACTACCTCTTATCCAATTGTAGATTTTCATATTTTTAAGTGAAATTTATTGATATTTTTTTAAAGTAAAGGAACATTCAAAACTAAGGCAATATATAAACAGGCAAAGTTCATGTCAAACTACACCCCTGAGAACTTTTTTAAATCTATGGAAAGATCTGTGCTAACTTTTGCAATGTTTGCAGTTTTTTCATGACCAGTAAGCCACTCTTCTAGCCTGTAATTATACTATTTCGTAAGAAGTAAAAAAACAACTAGAAATTAGAAGGGGCTGGCTGGTTGCTATATGAGTATTTAAATGCAACTCGGATTCTCCTAAAAATATAGCATATATATATATATATCTGCTTGTAGCTGAGTAATTAACCTTTTCCCAACAATGCTTATACTGCAGTAAATATTGTAACAAGTTAATCTGGACAGAGTGGTAATATAGTAACATGAATTCCAAAATCCAAAAGGGGATTAGCTTCAGACTTGTATCTAACACTATTGTAACCCAACAAAAGTAGCACTATGTCTTCATTACAATAAGTACCATTACACACATTCAAAGTATGCTTGAATCAAGGAAAAAATAAAGATCTGAGAGACAAATAGAAACCACAAGTGACTAGGTAAAAATTAAATACCATTTCTAATGTGTTCAGAAATATCACATTTACGTTATTACATGCACATTACTTGATTACATATGGTTAGCTGAATAACCCAATTGATCTGGTCTGCACAATATACTAAACTAAAAGCAAACAAATCACATGACATCTAACATACTGTTCAAATTTGTAAGAAAGCTGCAGAAATAAACGTAACACTGATATACCAGTGAGTTTATTGTAAATCAGTTCCAATGTCTTGCACTTGCCTACCTGCTGCCGTGAAGCCCCTCGCTAAGGAAAAGGCGAGCTGCCCAGCACCGATGAATCCCACACTCATGGTAACAAGTTTCTAGAAGTGACCTAATGGATCCCTGGTATAAAAAAAAATTGAGAATATCAGCCAAATGTGCCGGTGATAGTAATATAATTCTTGCAAAATACAGGGACCGTCTTCAGGTTTTGCACTGGATTTCGGGAATGGATAGATTCAAGTACCTGGGACAAAAAAAGATTAGAAGGGCTACTGCAGGATCCCTGGCTAACACTCACCCTCAAGTTGACATCACAGCTCGTTTAGTCTTTTTTCCCTTCTTGGTGCCGGCTCCACCTCCCACCTGCTGCTCTGCTTTTCTTCCTGCCTATCCTACCGTCCCCGTCCCCTGAACGGGATCTTCCATTCCCTTTGCATCGCGGATCGATCCTTTCCATACTCTTCAGGTTCTCCCCTGACCCAGCCCCCCAATGGGGTGTATCTCTATGGAGTCCTTTTACCCCCCAGCAAACAAACCTGATACTCCCACGTGGCTCGTTCAGAATCGGGGGCAGGGGATGAATAGAAGCCGTGGCAAAGCGCAGGAAAAAAGATAATTCCTCAGCCAATCCGAACGAGGGGGTGTGGCCTCCTTGCCCTCTCCTTCAATCACCTGCTGAGCAAGCACATCGCCCGCTAGCTATTGGAGCAAGCTTTGTTTGCAGTTGCATCAGTCGGTCTTCCGCGGAGGCGGCGAAGGACTGATTTTTTTCGAGCGATGCTCAGGCTTTGTTTTTGGCCGGTAATGGCTGCTGCATCCTGGGCGTTTCCATTAGTACGATACAATACGGGTTCATGATTGCGCTGCCTCCTGGGAATTGTAGTCTTTGGTGAAAAAAAGTGTTTTGATTTAAAAGGCAAGTGATAGAAATATAGTGATACCTTTTAAATGTGGTACTTGATTGAAAGTGTTTGGAAAGAAAGTTGCTTGGAAATCACATCGCTTGATCCAATAGCAGTACTTTGTAACTGCAATGCTGCTAATTCAACTTTGGGGAGGGGGTGGGATGGGATTTCCAGTAAAGTATCTTTAATACTCATCTTGGGTATATGCATCTTGAAAACTGAAAGAGGAATTTCCACCTTTCATATAAAGTGAATTCATTACGGAAGAGTTATTTGAATGATCTGAAATATTCCTTCACCGGTTTCTTGCCACTTGTGCCAAATTGTTTAGTCTCTTGATCATTTAAGTCTATTTTCTATTCTTCCTTCCCAGCCTCCCCAATTTCTCTATTAAATATAATTTGTATTAAGAATTTTAATTACAGTAATAAAAATTAACACAAACAAAAGAAAATACAGTAAAATTAAAAGAAAGGATAGAAAATGAAAGAAGAAAAGAAAGAAGAAAGGAATTACTCTGTGCTAAGATAGGTAGCCAATAAATTAGCTAAACAAATAAGAATATAATTAAGAAAAAATAAATATACAAAGAAGTTTACTCGTAAGTTTTTTGGTCTTTGCTACAGTTGTCAGCTCCACTTTCACAGAGGCATCTTCAGTTTCCAAAACCTCTACAGAACTCCACTAATTCAGCTTTGTAAATATTTGGTGTCAGTGAGCTGTAGAAATATTATCGCACACATATACATTCTTTTTACGACCCTGTAATCCCTTCAGGGTGGGGTTGGGGCAACTAAATGGAGCTGAATGTTTCCTGACGCCTATGTGGAATTCGCAGCAGATATTTTCTCTTTGCTCCCTGATACATAGATATAGATACGGATATATCGATTTATAGATAGATATTGATATTGAGGCATAATAGAAAGTTACTTTTTTCCCTTCATCTTGTCTGCTGATATTACTATTATTTTCTATTTTTATTGTTTCCCATGAAGCTGTTTATTTTTTTTTTGTTTTTGGTCTCTTTCATGATTTTTGTGGAATGCTAATTTTTTAAAAGGGTTTCCTAAGTTCCAGGCAGGACAAAGTGTTAGGGGGCGCCCCCTGTATTCCCAGTTGCATCATGAATATACATTTCCTAAATCAATGCTTCAAATAGAGAAATGTTATTGAATATGTTCATAGTAAAATCAAGCTCTCTTGGTTCATTCCAGATTTGTTACATTTGTTCTAATATAATTTTGGGAAATTTAATTCAGTACATCTGGTGGATTCATAGTTGGGAAAGACCAGTTAAATCCCTTTACTATATAGTAATACAGTACTAGTCTTGTTAAATTAATTTTTAATGATGTGTACCTCAAACAAATTTAGGATCCAATAAAATCTTGGAAGAAAAGTAGTACTTGGCAGATTCAAAGGAATTAAGACTATTTAATTCTTCATATAATATAGTAGATAAGTTAAAGTCACTGTTTGAATTAAAGCTTAGGATGACATTTCCAGCTGACTTGTAGAACATTCCACAAATGCTCCTCTGTTCTCTTTTTGCCTTGGAATCCTGATGGTGCTTTAGAATTTATACTGTGAGGAATGCAGTGGCATTCTTCAAACTATCAGTGATGCTTTTAAAGGCAACAGGGCAATTTAAATAACATAGCCATAGCAGGTGTGAGGCAGTTCATTCTTGATTTGGATCTCTCTCTCTCTCTCTGTTTCTGTAGAATATGTTTCTTTCAATTTGTATATTTTTAATTGGAATCAGAGCTATAATTGCAATAATCCCCTCATTCCACCAAATTAAAATAATGGCTGACTGAGAAATTGTATCATCACATCTTGTGCTTCTTCAAAACAATTGACTACTAATCTCTCTCTCCTAAATTATGTAGCTTTGTTCAAATGCACCTCTGCCAGCCACAATGTGCACTTATCTTCTCTGCCAATTCATTAATGTTACGACCTTTCTTGCCACAGTTGTTAAGTGAATCACTGTAGTTGTTAAGTTACTAACCTGGTTGTTAAGTGATTCTGGCTTCCCCATTGACTTTGCTTGTCAGAAGGTGACAAAAGGTGATCACATGGGGCACCCTGAGACACTGCAACCGTTATAAGTCAGTTGCCAAGCGTCTGAATTTTGATCACATGATCATGGGGATGCTGCAGTGATCATAAGTTGGTCTCTTTTCAGTGCCATTGTAACTTTGAACGGTTACTAAACAAACGGATGTAAATCCCAAATTACCTGTATTTGTTTACTACGTTCACATATATACTGCCCCATCACACAGATTCAAGATGGCTTACAATATATAAGGAACGGCTGCTGGAATTGGGTATGTCTAGTTTAACGAAGAGAAAGACTAGGGTTGACATGATAGCAATGTTCCAATATCTCAGGGGCTGCCACAAAGAAGAGGGAGTCAAGCTATTCGGCAAAGCCCCTGAAGGCAGTACAAGAAGCAGCGGATGGAAACTAATCAAGAAGAGAAGCAACCTAGAACTAAGGAGAAACTTCCTGACAGTTAGAACAATTAACCAGTGGAACAACCTGCCTCCAGAAGCGGTGAATGCTCCAACACTGGAAGTTTTTAAGAAGAGACTGGACAACCATTTGTCTGAAATGGTATAGCGTTTCTACCTGAGCAGGGGGTTGGACTAGATGACCTCCAAGATCCCTTCCAATTTTATTATTATTATTATTATTATTATTATTATTATTATTATTATTATTATTATTATAATGATACAGAGCATCCATATAACCAAATTCCCCAGTAAAGCCACTACTAACTTATAGCTTGAATATCCAATAAAATTTCAGTATAAAACTAAAACCAGAACAGTTTCCCAGTACCACCATTAGTGCCCACGCACGTGTTGGAACAAAACTCTTTTCTCACAGCTTTGTGGAAAGATTGGAAGCTCATGGGTATTATAAAGCTCAGTTTTTCCAGTATTGGAACCACTGCTGAGATTGCTTGAGTTCTTCTGTGAAGATCAGATGATTGTACAAAATTGATGGAGGAATCTCGTCAAAAGAGATGTCCAATTTTAGACTAAAAGGGTCACACTGATTTAATGATAGGATTGTAATTGTAACTAAGATGTCAGGTAGAATGCTTGGCTGAGCAGTTGTGCACATACTTCAGGATAAATAGGAGGAAGGTGAGATCTCTCCTGGTAGCAAGACACAGAACTGGTAGTCTGCAAATGCAGATTAAAATTGACAGTCCAGGGCTCCAGTCTACAATCATAGCAGCAAGAGATAAGTAGCAGAGTAGTAGTAGTAGTAGTAGTAGTAGTAGTAGACAGCCAACAGTGCAAGAATGGTGTGAGGCAGCACCAGAGAAGTAGTCTGTCAATCTAGGATACAAATGTAAGAGACTTCCACATATTGCTCTGAGTGATAGTCTAAACTCCAAGAGCAGAGCAGGGCTAGAGGAACACAGAGAGCTCTTTCCAATAAAGTTTAAGACTGCGGCAGCTACTCCAAAGTAGCCCTAGCTGTGGGTGTAACTCAATTAGTCAAGTAGATTGCCTTTGCTCTGCCTTTCAAAGTTGTTAGTTTGTTGTGGGACTTAGATGACTTGCCATGATCTGGCCCTTCATAATCTGAGTCTAAGGCATTATTGTACTGATAACAAGAGTTTTGAAAGAAAGCAGCTTGAACCTTAATGTTTTCTGTGGGCCTTTACTCATCTGCAGCTGGTATCATTACCTTCATATTGTTTCTGATCCATGAATGAGAGAGCCTTATCCTTAAATATGCCAGTATTAAAGTAATATTTTCCCTATTAAACTGGCATTGTCCAATATTGAGGTTAAGCCCCAAAATGACAAACAGCAATTCAATGAGAGATCAGTTCTGATTGTTTAAATTCTTGTGCTTTAAATTTTTTAATATATATATATATATATTTCTAATTAACCATTTTTATTCTGGATTGAAATAGCTTATTCACACACATTTAACATAAACCATTAGGACAAACACATTGATTTCTTTAAAATAAATTTATTTAAATACTGATTCACACTGTAGGATATCAACTATTGTGTTGCTATTTGCATCAAGTTTATGTTTGCAAATGACTTCTTAGCTGTAATTTAAGAACAAGCATATTTCAGGCAACAGGCACTTAACTGAATTCATTATGAGGTTATACAGGTCCTTTTTAAACGACAAGCCACACAACTTGTTCTTCGGTGACCCCAATTATATCTGGAAATTCTGGGAGTTATTGTCACAATACAGGTAGTCCTCAATGCACAATCATTTATTTATTTATTTGTGAGGCTTATATACCGCTTTAAGTGCAAGCACTCTCTAAGCGGTGTACACCAGTAAGCAATGTATATATATATTTACATTGCCCCCAACAATCTGGGTCCTCATTTTACCTACCTCGAAAGGATGGAAGGCTGAGTCAACCTTGAGCCGGTGAGATTTGAACCACTGACCTGCTGAACACAGTCAGCTAAAGTGGCCTGCAGTACTATTATTTTATCATGATCATCATTTGATGATCATAGGTCTTATGACCTATGGCCATTATTCACACTTATGGCCATTGCAGCAATTAAAATTTGGATGCTTGGCAACTTACATATATTAATGATGGTTGCCATATCCCAGGAACTTGTGATCACTTTTTGCCACTTTCTGACAGACAAAATCAATGAGGAAGCTAATTCATTGAACAACCATGTTATTAACAACTGCAGTGATTCGCTTAACAACTGTAGCAAAAAAGGGGCAAAACTCACTTAACAACTGTCTTGCTTAGCAATGGAAATTTTGGACTCAATTGGGATCATACGACGAGGATTACCTGTACGTTTAGAAAATTCCAGGTTCGGAAAAGTTCTAAGAGAATTGGATTTTACAATAAACTTGTCTGTGAGCTAGAATTCTGAAGATGTTCCATTTATGGCCCATCAGACCACATTACATATTTTTTCAAACCATCCTGTTTTCCCTCATGGATACACCTCAAGTTCATTCTTTGTCTGTCACAGTTGGCTTTGTAACGGGTCCCAACGCTCTCATTCTTGAAGTAATTTAAGATTCTTGTAGCATCCGAGCTGAGCATTAGTGAGCTGATACAAAGCGGATACGCTGCGAGTATGCTAAATCCACCATGTAGAGTACTAGGTTCACATAGGTGAATACCGCAATGACCACTTGGTTGTCCCATGGACACATGGCTCGGGAACACTGGTAGGGACGTTGTGGAGAGCCATATTTACTATCAAAGCAGAAAATCGGCCATATCACTGCAGCGCTCACATACATCAGGATAGCCACGAATGTGTAAACGACCACAAAGTGCTCAAAGGGGCATTTCAGTGTTGCTGTCTTTCCTGTGACGTTGAGAGCCACCACAACCACAGTTACCACAAAGCAGAAGCTGTAAACAGCCACACACCACTGGGTAGCTGCGTACTTATTGTATTGGCTGTCCTTCGCCAGAGCGCCAAAGATGATGCATGCTACAAAGGACTGGACAATTTTCAAGAGGCCTGAAACTGTGGCCATATAACTTGTTACCTGTCCTGGTTTGGCCCTTGTTAAAAATACTTCTGTGGCATATGCCCCAAACAGAAGCCCTGCAAAAACACTACTGGCAATGCGGAAGTTTCTCACCTCGCAACTATTGGAATCGCAGTCAAACTGGACGTAGAGTGGATAGATCACAGCGGCGGTGATGGACATGAGGGTGGCGAGCATGGCAAAAGCAGCTGTGAAATTCCCCCAGGAGATGCTTAGGCAGCTATGGAGGCGAGTAAATTCGCAGGTGAGGATGAAGACGGTGACGGCAAAGCAAAAGCACCAGACCGACATACAGAAAGAGCCATAGGCTGCGCTGAATCCCCCTCGGTGGGCCACAAGGCTGAATGTAGCACATCCAAACATGGCCTGCAAGAGTCGAGTGACTCCCACCCAAGAGGCCACTGCATCCACATTGAGGTATGTCCTGCTTGATCTCTCCATTGCTGGATCGGAAGTCCTAGATTCCCTTTTGTGGTTGGATCTGGTTCCTCTTGTCCTTGTCCTATCAGAAGCTCAATGACTAAGCAGGAAATACTGCGAGAAGAAGCTTTGTATCCCCTCCACCTAAATCTTTGCTGGCTGCTATTTATGCGGCAGGCATAGTACGTGTTTCTGACAGCTTTTTGAGACGGATTTGCCTCTGCAGTAAAAGTATTGACCTGTCTTTGTCTGTGCTGCAGTTATGATCCATCAAATGTGCCCTGCTGGGTTCTGCCCACCAAGCACTCTCGCTGCACTCCTGTTACTTTTTCTTCTCTTTCTCAACTGGTCACTTTTTCCCAAGTGACTTGTAGGAGGTTTGTTTCAGTTGCACAGCTGCAGCTCTCAACCCTGTGCTGTAAAGGGCCAGCATATAAATAGAAGACTATATTAATAGACTTATCCAGAATGGAATGAATTGCATGGAGCGTGCAGGAATGAGAAGCTGGTTTTAACTACATCCAGAGCAGCTTTCATCTTTGGGGCAGAAATAAACTAAAATAATTTGAATGGCAAAAGACAAGTAATCCAGCAGGAAACGAAGATGGGAAAGGCATCGAATGCAAAAATACAGGTATATTGCATCTTTTCATTAGAGGTGCACTGCATATACTTTTCTGTCAAAATGCTGAACTCATGGCCTATTAAAATAATCCTTGACTTATAACCATTTGTTTAGTGACTATTCAGAGTTACACCAGCATTGAAAAAAGCGACTTACAGCGGATCTTGCTGCAGCATCCCCATAGTCATGTGATCAAAACTTGGGCTCTTGGCAACTGGAATGTATTTATGGTAGTTGCAGCGTCCCTGGATCACGAGATCACCATTTACAATTTCAGCCTTCAGCTTTCGACAAGCAAAGTCAACGGGGGAAGCCAGTTTCACTCAACAACCATGTGATTCACTTAACAACTGCAGTGATTCACTCAATAACCACGGGCAAAAAGGTTGTAAGATTGGGCATGACTCACTTAACAGCTGCCTTGTTAGCAGTGTAACTTCTGGCCAAGTTGTGGTCATAAGTTGAGGACTACCTGAGCACTTAAACAATCAGCATGGTTCACGGATGGAAAAGCACATTAGCTGGCTTTACACATTATGCCAAATTTAACCTGATTTATTTAGTTTTGACTCTTTGCAGTTTAGAGATCCCTTAACTGTATTTTGCCAATCAAGGTCTATTTAGTTGCCTATCTCTGGACAGTTTATGGTTTAAGGCTATATAATGTCTACACAAATATAAGAGCACTAATCCTCTGAAGGGACTGAGCTGCTTGTGACCTTGACCACACCTTTACATATAGTACTTATCATAATACGATAGTAAAGCAAGTCATACTGTGCTTTGAGGAATTCTGCTTATCTGTTCAGAAGAGCTTACGGAAAAATGGTAATTCCTGCTGATTTAGCCACTGGTTGAAAAAATACCACTTTTAAGATTAGAACATTGTCTTGTACTGTATCTACAAATATATGTCAACCGATACTTAACTGAATCATGATTGAATGAATTAATCTAGTTATCAAGATTTCTGCAAAATTCTGAACAATACCTGCTGGATTTTGTACTGAGTTACAAATGCATCACATTTTAGCCTAGTGGATTATATATAAATCTAACCTGGAGGCTAAAACGTATAAAATACAGTTGCTGGAATTGGGTAGAACTGGGGTGACATGATAGCAATGTTGCAATATCTCAGGAATTGCCACAAGGAAGAAGCAAATCTCCAAATCACCTGAAGGAAGCACAAGAAGCAATGGATGAAAACAAATCAAGGAGAGAAGCAACCTAGAACTAAGAAGAAATTTCCTGACAAATAGAATAATTAATCAGTGGAACAACCTGCCTCCAAATGTTGAATGCTTCAACACTGGAAGTTTTTAAGAAGAGATTGGACAATCATTTGTCTGAAATGATATAGGATTTCTGCCTGAGCAGGGAGTTGGGCTAGAACAGTGGTTCTCAACCTGTGGGTCGGGACCCCATTTGGGGTCGAACGACCATTTCACAGGGGTCGCCAAACAACGCAGTCTGCCATTTTTTCCCCCTTTTCCTTAGCTGTGCTACTCCCTTTTATTCTATTGGCTTTTGAAAGCCAATAGAATAGACTCTCTTGAATAGAGTCTAATTCTATGGCTTTCAAAAGCCAATAGGAATTGTCCAGGCTGTCTCTGTCCTGCTGAGCCCGCCAAAAGTCCCATTCTGCAAACGGTGCTGCACCAGTTGAGTAGTCCTCGACTTACGACCGGTTGAGTAATCCTCGACTTATGACCGGTTGGGGGTCGCGGCATTAAAAAGGTTGAGAACCACTGGACTAGAAGATCTCCAAGGTACCTTTCAACTCTGTTACTCTATTCTAAATCTTGGTGTACAAATAACACTTGGCTTTTTAAACATTTACTCTTTTAAAAGCAAATGACATTTTGATTTAACAACATATTGTATGAACTCAGTCTGCACCTGAGAGCACCTGTTGGGCCTCAGCTATAGTTTTTCTTGTCCTCTCATGCCTTGTGTTGCTTTGGTTTGTTTCAGATTGAAAATACTGATTCAACTGAAACTGCTACTGAATGAATACAAAACCAGAGTGACCAATCCAAGAGACAGGTGTTGAGGACGTTTGCTTAGAGATAAGAAATGAGGATGGAGATGCAAAAGAAATAAACGAACATGCAAAGGGGTTGAGAGGAAGGAAGAGACCAAGAAATTTATCCTTAGGTAAAGCTGAATGAGATTCTCCAAAAGAGAGAAGTGAGCTCTAAATAACAAAATCAGGGTATAGATATGGTAGAACAAAGGATGTTTTGGAAGACTGTGAAAGTACCATTATTTTGATATCATCATGGTTTGCTGCAGATGTCACTGTAGCCCATGTCTACCCTTTCACTTCTTCCCTTCTTTCTCTTGAACAGCTTATTTATTTATTTATTTATTTATTTACCGCCCATCTTTGCAGTTCAGGTGACTTTGCTCACATGCTTCAGGAGCTGTTTCTGCATTTGGACACAGTATCAAATCATGGCTCATTGAATAAAAAGTCTATTTTTGCCCAGCTTCCTAAGATACATATTACAATGGCTGGATTCATTTTATATGTTATTAAACCAAAAACAAAAGAAGTACACAGAGATTTAGTTTATATAACGAGTAATGACATGGTTTATTCAAGGCTGAGTAATTAAATGAGTGACAACTGCTGCATTTACACAACATTCGAAGCAGAAAACTTGGCTTACAAACCATACTGGCTAGGTTTACACAACTCCAAATCAAGCAAATAGGGTGTAGTTTGGCATAATGTGTGAAATATGACTTTGCATGTGTTTCCTTGCAGGCTCACAGGCTCAAATTCTTCACTTTCAGCAGGGATTTAGAGAACCCTGAGCTGTTGTGCTTGATTCAAGCAGTTCCTGCATCCCGAAAACCTTTCCAATAGTATTGCAGGGAGGTGAAGATACTTTTAACTCATTGCTATTGACACACTATAGTATCTGCGGAGCAAATATCTATGGCAGTATTTCTCAATCTTGATAACTTGTAGAATTGTGGACTTCAATCCCCCCAGAATTCCCCAGCCACATGCTTTCAAGTTGTCAAGGTTGTGAAACACTGGTCTACAGCCCAGGAACTATACTTTTCGAGTAAACCTAACATCTCTTTACTGTTTAAGGAACAAAGAGGTATAGTTTTAGTGCAACTCTAATTTAGTTAGTTCTCTGCTGTTTTGCCTCTGGATTTAATTGCCTTTCATTGCTTCTTCTTATTCTTTTTCTACATAATGTTGCTTGTCCCAAAAGGGATTAGCATAAGATCATGTGTACAGTATGTGTACAGTATGTTTTGTGAAGCCAGCCTTAGTGGTTTGTAAACCATGACTTAATGTTTTGTGCAAATTCAGATACTTATTCATTTAGTGATTTACAATTAAATAATAGTGAACCCAGCCATTTTATTCATGTGGGATTTATATAAAAGTTGAGATGTTTTGGGAATAGATGCAGAGTTAGACAGTATTCTCATTTTTACAATGATAGAAAGACTGAGGCAGAGGGGAGGGCTGTTTCTTCTTTATCCCCTCCATGCCAAACTTCCTATTGACTTGAATGGAAGGAAAAAGAGTGTTAATTGTACAGTGATTAAATTGCACTGCCATCACGGCTTAGAGAATCAGTGAGGTACAATGATTAAAAATTGGATTAGTATTGGGAAAACCCAGAGAACCTTCAGCCATAGAAAACTTGATGTCTACTCGCCCCATTTCAGACTCCATTATCTTGTGTATTGTTTTTGGTGTTGGATTGCTGTTTTCAGGAAATATAGGAGGAGGAGATGTTAAGTATGCCTCCTTTGCCTCTTGAAGGAAAGAAGGGATATAAATCTAAGGATAAATGTCAGAGAAATAATGGAAATTTGGATACAACTGCCATCCTGCGCCTAGCCATTGCACTAGTCAGAGAAGGTGGCACATCTATATATGTGAGGGAGATGGAGGGTTCAGAAATGTGATAGATAGATAGATAGATAGATAGATAGATAGATAGATAGATAGATAGATAGATAGATAAACAGAACAGAATCAAGGAGTTGGACAGGACCTTGGAGGTCTTCTAATCCAGCCCCCTAGCCCAGTGGTGGCGAACCTATGGTACAGATGCCAGAGGCGGCACCAGGAGCCCTCTCTGTGGGCACACGTGCCATTGCCCCAACCTTGCCTCCCCCCACGACCCCCTCCTCTCTAGCAGCCCCCCTGAAGGGGAGTCACCCCCCCGAGCGTGGCCCACACAGAGCAGCGCAGCCAAGGACATGGCAGCCAGGCAGTGTAGACAAGACTCTGCCCTCACACCCCATGGTGCCATAGCGCTGCTGGGCTGCCTGGGCGATCTGCGGCAGGCCCTGGAGGCAGTGAGTGGTCCTGTGGGCAGGTGGGGTGGGGGATGGGGGGCAGAGTGGGGGCAGGGCAGGGAGTTGGAGCAGGGGTGGGGCCAGGTTTTGGGCACTCGGTCTCTTAAAAGGTTCGCCATCACTGCCCTAGGCAAACTGGAAACCCTATGCCATTTCAGACAAATGGTTGTCCAATCTCTTCTTAAAAACAGCTCTCTTGGCAAGATAGGGAATTTCTGAAGGTAGGGAGTGTAAATTTGCTGATGGAGATCCATTTCAACTGATGACAAGTTGTTCTCACTACTTTCATATACCATTTTAAGGGGTAGCATCAGATTGTGTCCTTGGATAAGCATGTCAGCACAGGAGGTGGAGACGGCCTGATGACCATGCCAGCTTCCTTGAGTCTACTACACAAACATGGAAAAGCTGAAGAATAGCACTCTGATGAAGTTAGGAGATAAGTTTGCACAGTTGGCAAGGTGCCTTATCTCTTCTTTTGTTTCCTGATAATGAGCTAGGAGTGACATTTTCATGGTGACCTGGCAGCAGAGTGAATTGGTAATTTTCTAAATCTTAATTAACAATCCTTAGAGCAAAACCTATCTATCTGAGTCTACCCTATAGGGACTGCAAATCTGGACATTAGATTGGAACAAAATATAGAAATTGCTGTTGTTCTCTGCTGTCTTCTAATGGCCATCCATATTTCTACATATTTAGATACAGCAGACTAATACAGGATGAGGGGGACTGTCAATGGGTTCAGCTGCATGTCCCTCTAAGCAGGAAGATGCCCGCAG